ATGAGTGTAAAATCACTGAGCCCGACGTGATTCGAACACGCAGCCTTCTGATCTGGAGTCAGACGCGCTACCGTTGCGCCACGAGCTCGCCGCATCATTACCACACATCTTACACTCACTACAACTCAACTCATCCTCCTCCCTCAAACACATCATACTCTAACCGTTGTCTCTTCCTCCACTCACAATCCGCTCACAACTTGTCAATAGGCCAACGAGTATCAACATAATACACACATCACAATCAGTAAGCGCATCTACTCATTCGTTCAGTACAGTACAACTGTACACAATGGCTAACCGTCCACACGACACAACCACACAAACAAGCAAACAAGTCGGAAAACAGTCACACCAAAAGTCAAACTACTATCCCACTAAATGTATCACCAATCAACAACACGACATACTCACACACCTATTCATTCGCTCATACAAACTACTATTCGACCAATTGGTCAATCGATCCATCAATCCTCCAACCGATCAATCATTCATTCACTGAACTGTCGGTTCGTGATGACTGGATTCATCAATCTCACTGGAACGGAACATCTCTACACACTCGAGTGCACGTCCTACAATCGGTCACACCACTTCCATCACCGTGATGCGCCCTCGCCCTCGCCCTCGCACTCGCCCTCGCACTCGCACTCGCACTCGCGCGCACGCACACACAGATACACTGATATATAACTATATATATATATGCATATATAGATAATGCATTCATCGTTCCATTGAACGAGTTGTGCTCCGATCTGTTCCGGTGAATATCGGTCTCCCGAGAGGTGGGAGTGCACACTAATCCAACAGCACCAGCAACAGTATCAATAAAGCAACACCGTCACCAACATCATCGCCATCCAATCATTCCCATCAGGCACATGCACATTTCATTGTGCAGTGAATAACTGATCATTCGTCATATCCAACTTCAAACAATCCTCAACCAGCATGTGCATGACCGACAGATTGTTCAGAATATTGGCATGTAGTAGTTTTTACGGTCTTGTGGATCAGGGCACTGACTACCAAGCATCAACCGATCAGGTTGGTATGTGCATTGCGCGGGTCGAATTGCACAACTCCGTTCAACAGGCGTTTATGCACATGATGTTGGCTTAGCGAGCAATGTCAATTTTGGCATAGTGAGTGATGTGAAACATATTTTAGCAATGATTTTGATATGAGTGTAAAATCACTGAGCCCGACGTGATTCGAACACGCAGCCTTCTGATCTGGAGTCAGACGCGCTACCGTTGCGCCACGAGCTCGCCGCATCATTACCACACATCTTACACTCACTACAACTCAACTCATCCTCCTCCCTCAAACACATCATACTCTAACCGTTGTCTCTTCCTCCACTCACAATCCGCTCACAACTTGTCAATAGGCCAACGAGTATCAACATAATACACACATCACAATCAGTAAGCGCATCTACTCATTCGTTCAGTACAGTACAACTGTACACAATAGCTAACCGTCCACACGACACAACCACACAAACAAGCAAGCAAGTCGGAAAACAGTCACACCAAAAGTCAAACTACTATCCCACTAAATGTATCACCAATCAACAACACGACATACTCACACACCTATTCATTCGCTCATACAAACTACTATTCGACCAATTGGTCAATCGATCCATCAATCCTCCAACCGATCAATCATTCATTCACTGAACTGTCGGTTCGTGATGACTGGATTCATCAATCTCACTGGAACGGAACATCTCTACACACTCGAGTGCACGTCCTACAATCGGTCACACCACTTCCATCACCGTGATGCGCCCTAGCCCTCGCCCTCGCACTCGCACTCGCACTCGCGCGCACGCACACACAGATACACTGATATATATATATATATATATATATATATATATATATATATGCATATATAGATAATGCATTCATCGTTCCATTGAACGAGTTGTGCTCCGATCTGTTCCGGTGAATATCGGTCTCCCGAGAGGTGGGAGTGCACACTAATCCAACAGCACCAGCAACAGTATCAATAAAGCAACACCGTCACCAACATCATCGCCATCCAATCATTCCCATCAGGCACATGCACATTTCATTGTGCAGTGAATAACTGATCATTCGTCATATCCAACTTCAAACAATCCTCAACCAGCATGTGCATGACCGACAGATTGTTCAGAATATTGGCATGTAGTAGTTTTTACGGTCTTGTGGATCAGGGCACTGACTACCAAGCATCAACCGAACAGGTTGGTATGTGCATTGCGCGGGTCGAATTGCACAACTCCGTTCAACAGGCGTTTATGCACATGATGTTGGCTTAGCGAGCAATGTCAATTTTGGCATAGTGAGTGATGTGAAACATATTTTAGCAATGATTTTGATATGAGTGTAAAATCACTGAGCCCGACGTGATTCGAACACGCAGCCTTCTGATCTGGAGTCAGACGCGCTACCGTTGCGCCACGAGCTCGCCGCATCATTACCACACATCTTACACTCACTACAACTCAACTCATCCTCCTCCCTCAAACACATCATACTCTAACCGTTGTCTCTTCCTCCACTCACAATCCGCTCACAACTTGTCAATAGGCCAACGAGTATCAACATAATACACACATCACAATCAGTAAGCGCATCTACTCATTCGTTCAGTACAGTACAACTGTACACAATGGCTAACCGTCCACACGACACAACCACACAAACAAGCAAGCAAGTCGGAAAACAGTCACACCAAAAGTCAAACTACTATCCCACTAAATGTATCACCAATCAACAACACGACATACTCACACACCTATTCATTCGCTCATACAAACTACTATTCGACCAATTGGTCAATCGATCCATCAATCCTCCAACCGATCAATCATTCATTCACTGAACTGTCGGTTCGTGATGACTGGATTCATCAATCTCACTGGAACGGAACATCTCTACACACTCGAGTGCACGTCCTACAATCGGTCACACCACTTCCATCACCGTGATGCGCCCTAGCCCTCGCCCTCGCACTCGCCCTCGCACTCGCACTCGCACTCGCGCGCACGCACACACAGATACACTGATATATAACTATATATATATATGCATATATAGATAATGCATTCATCGTTCCATTGAACGAGTTGTGCTCCGATCTGTTCCGGTGAATATCGGTCTCCCGAGAGGTGGGAGTGCACACTAATCCAACAGCACCAGCAACAGTATCAATAAAGCAACACCGTCACCAACATCATCGCCATCCAATCATTCCCATCAGGCACATGCACATTTCATTGTGCAGTGAATAACTGATCATTCGTCATATCCAACTTCAAACAATCCTCAACCAGCATGTACTTGTCCGAATTCGGCTTGTCTCTTTGAATTAAGGAACACTTGGTCGATCAATGTCTTTTTGATTTGTACACGTATATGCCTATTGCCGGTAACAATGACGCGCTGCAATAAATAGTTCAGCTTATCTGTTTATTTTTCGTTGGTGAATATTGAATCTTTTTAGCACATTTGAGTGCCTCTCCTTATTTTCAATATTTTTTCTGAATTTTTTTAGAATTCTTGTTTTGTGTTTCTTGTTATTTTTCTAGATATACTTTTGTTTTATGGCCTTGTTTTGTGAAATTTGGTGTGTCATTTTATTGTAATTTTGTTTTCTTTTTCAATTTTTAGTATTAAATTGTATGTTAGGTAGTACGATTTTTCTTTATACGGTCGGCAATATTATTATGTGATAACATCATGTCCACCTCATTTTCAGATATCTTTTGTCTGATTTGATATATCATCAACAAAATTGTCCCCACGGTTTTATATAATTTCCTAATTCCCGGTTTCACAATATATCGATGACTTAAACTTCTCAATTGTCAAGTGTTCCTGTCATAGAGGACCATTTTGAAGGCTTTCATAATAGTTACTCCGAATATTGTCAACAATAAAATACCTATTTCCATTTTGTGAGCTGATGGACTTTTACCGGATTATTTTGTCGCTGATCAGTTTTACAAACTGTTGTAATGCATCAATCCCTATCAAGATAGGGATTAGTTGTAATTGCTTTTTCATCGTACCACAGGGTAGAAATAGTAATATGTATACTTTATTTCTTATTAAATGGTGGTTAGGACGTTCGGTTTTCAGCCACTATGTCAGCTCTCCCTCTCGAAATGCTCTCACAAGATCACGCGTATACAGCCACTACCAGGGAAGTCCCACTCACTGCCTTCTCGAGGTGGTGTTTACGAAACTAAGAGAACGAAAAGCGAATGTCCGATGCTTTAACCAGGTTGGTGGATATGGAGGATCGACCTAGGGGAGTTGGAAAACTCTGATTTCAAACCAATAGTGAACATGGGCTTCAGGATCCTAAAAGAACAAATAGTGTATGAACCAATTATTGGCCACCGGCTACCATGGAACTGCATCTCCTGACATTACTCCATTGCCTTGTAAATCAGACCTTTAGGTCGAAGGCTCTGGCCCCCTAAGAAAGCCACCTGTTTGGGTCTGGGCACCCGGGAAGTATCATAGCCCACACACAAATCAAGTGACTTGTGTGGCGCTTCGGTGTCCATTTGTACCAATATTTATGTGTTCAAATAAATAAATAAATAGGTATGGGTAACCGGTGAGCATCATATTAGCCTTTACACTTTGAATGTGACTGATACTGAAGTACCGAATGAATGGGTTTATTTTTAAATGTTGTACACCAAAATAAGAACATAGTATTTTCGGACTTATTCAGATTGCTGTAAAGTAATACACATTAACATAGTAACAAAGCGAAGGATATTTCATAGTCATTGTTCATGATATAAATTGATTTATTCGAGAAAGGTAAATAATTAAATACACAGCTTTACAAAATAAATTGTATAACAAAAGAATCAAATCTTTTCGAATTTATTTGAAATTTAGAGGCACTTTGTAGAGGATTTGTACATGTACTGAATCAGAACATCAAAGTTATTTTAAATAAAATCCAGTAAATCACATTAATTTCAGGTGATTATTCATTATATTAATATCTTCAATATCTTGAGCTTTATAATACTCAATTATGCTCATACATTTTTGCCAATCAGGATTATAAGCAGCTAGTGGACTTAATATATCATATGCTATTCTTGAAAATTTACATAAAACACGACCTAGACAATCTAAATTATTGTATGCACTGTGTGGATGTATCAGATAATTTTTAACTTTATCCATTCGGTTACAGTTGTGAAATTCATCAGTATCACTTATATGGGATAATAGGAAAGAGGTGACTGAATAAACCAGACGACCAAGTTGTAAACGATCTGACAATAACCAAGTTGTTCTCCAGTAGAATTCACTCAAACTGCTAGCAATAACAATATTTACGAGGGAATCTTTAAAAACTTTGAAATTCGTTTTATTATATTGATGACGACCATTCAAATTATCCAGTAATGAATTCAATGGTATTGCATGTATAAATCGAACACGAGAACAACATCGTGCTAAGTATAAACTGTCTTTATGGCCAAATAATTTATAATAAGAACAAGATTCTTCAAGTTGTATATCCTTAACTGATTTCAATTGGATATTTTGTATAGGTTCATCAATTTGACAACAGCGTAAGTACATGATTAGCGCATCTAGAGCTGTAAGAAATAATGAGGAAAAAGTAAATTAAAATAGGGCATTTAAAATGATTGCATACATGATCAGAGCAAGTAATCTAGGATGACAGATGTAATTTGAAAAATTTCTAATTAATTTGTTAAACCTTGGGATATAATTCATTGATAAGTAACATTTATAAAGATTAACTCTTCTGAACTCAATTTTACATATATAGTAATTTATCCAAAAATTTACCTAATCAAGTGATAGTTTACAAGTCGTATCACAGTAATAAATGGAGCTGATAAAAACTAACTACTCTGAAAACCTATACAGGATACTCAAATTTCTTTTGACATCTGTAAAATCTAAACTGATATTCGGTCAATAAGGTTTACCCATACATGAAATGCTAATATGGAACAAAGCACTTTTGATGGTTGATCATTTTATTAATATGGTTATTTACTAGTTATACAGTATGATGACATAGTATTATTTATTGGATGTTTTCTACAGATATAGAGAATAAAATGCAACAAAGTGCATCTGAAACACCGGTTAATAAACATAACAGTAAAATTTAATATGAACTGTAACTTATTTAATAAATACGGGTCTATGTACTCAGCTTTCAACTTTACTGTTTACGTGAGGGTTATTAATGCAACTTGACTCCTCAAATCGATGTAGTTAGAGATGGGTTGAACTTATGTTCTACTAATCGAAAATTAGATGCTCCAACCACTACGCTACCGCTTTACGGTATAGCTACGTGATAGATTGAATAAACAGACGAACATAAATTGAATGTTAATCTCACAAGTAATGTAATGGTTCTAACCTTTAATCTCTCGGAATTATTGCAGTAGATAGCATAAGCGATTACTAGGTTATTAGATTTATGATAAAAAGACACTAGTCATCGAGTTAATTTTCCCTTAACACTAACACTCGTATGCAACTACAAATAATTCAGAAGGCTAAAATACCGTTACGCATCAAACCGTTATAATCACACCACACTAATCTGTATATTAAATATCTGGCTAACATGAATTATTGTATAGGTAGTTTATTTGTAAGAAATGAGATCCAAAAGCGAAATTACCAGTATCAACATCTGAATGTACTTCAGTTTTGCCATACAGATTATCTGCAATTTGATTTATTAGCTTATCATCGTAGACTCGGAGGCATACAAAACAGTAACGGACTATAATGGGCTTTGGTAGTTTATCATTGTTATATTCCTTCAATTTAACGGAAGAAGGTAGTTTGTCAAATTGTAGTGGTTCACTTAAACAGTCAGATGAACAACAAATGAGTGATGTAATCTTTTTTTCCTAAACACGGATAATAATAACAATATTACAGAATAGGTGAAATTACAAAATGTAAATGAAAGCAATTGTATCTATTACCTTTTGAAGTCATTTATGGGATTGCTAAGTCATAATTAAAAAATGTAGGCATAATAAGAAACTCATTTCAGGAATAACTGTCATAACAGAAACCCGGGTCATCAAATAATTCTAGTTGTGGTTTATTCGTCCAGGAAATGGGCTTTTAATTATATATATATATATATATATATATATATATATATATATATATATATATATATATATATATATATATATATATATATATATATATATATAATTTGATGACCCGGGTTTCTGTTATGACAATTATTCCTGAAATGAGTTTCTTATTCAGACACCAGGTTATAAATGAAAGATTAATTTGTCAAAGTAGAACAGAAGACTTCACCTTAGGTTTCTGGTATTTCGCTAATATCCGGGAACTTTACTTTGCATATTGTATATATATATATATATATATATATATATATATATATATATATATATATATATATATATATATATATATATATATATATATATATATATATATATATATAACAATTTAATCAGTCCTTTTGATTTTATTGGTGTCTATGCTACACCATGCTGACATGTATTTATACTAACTTTTAATTAATTTCATTTCTGTATTTTAAGCTATTTGTCGTTTCGGAATATTACGGCTTGTAAGCAGTAAATGGGGACTCAACAAAACAAGATGAATTAGTGCTGTCCTGATGAAATTATTTGTCCTCGACATTAATAAAGGGAAGTATGTATACGACAACTTAAAACAACTGGGTAATATACATCAAATATTTTTAAACGACATCGTTACATGTTTTCTGATGCATCAAAAATCAGTTACGAAGCTATCGGTTTCTCGAGATTTGAGTATAACTCAGGTGGATCTTTGTTATAGGTAAAATTACGGTGGCTTCCCTAAAATTTGCTACTATCTAACACACAAACTTAAAACCGACAGTACTTGTAGTGAAACTGATGAGATATGGTAAAATCAAAATAAAAGGAGGTTACGATCGGAATTCGCTTTTGTACTGACTCAACTACCATGTTAAATTATATCTTCAGTACTACTTCATGTCTCAGAACCTATGTAGCTAATAGGATCAACTGTGCACAAGAAAGGCCTGTGTCCTAATGAACCCATAATGAATCTTACTGACATGACCTCGAGAGGAATTCGTGTACGTGACTTGGATTGCATTGATTTTCGGATCACAGGACCAAAACTTTTGACAACCAGTAAAAGCCAATGGCATAATTGTGAAAAGGACTAAATTCTGAATTGACAAGCTTATTATGAAGCAAATGCAATAGTTATGGTAGCTATTACCTTAGTATTAACATTAGATACATTTAATTCGTATTTTTCACCGTGAAGCACGCTAAAACAAGACGCGGCTAGGCTTATCAAATTAGAAAGGGATGTTATCAAAAGAGATATAAGTAAAATTTGATTACTAGGAACAGATAGTTAACATCAAACAGACCATAGTGATCAGTTTGTCAAAACGGCTATGGCAGCAATAAACAGTACCAACATTGTTTCTGCGTATCTCCACACGAAGTGTTTGAATAGTAAACGCACGGAGGAACATACTGGCTTTGTGGGGTCTGTGTTATTACTTTTATTTCTCGTAATGAATTGTAACATAATACTCAATATTCAATAACTTGTACCATTATAAATCATTTTTTGAACATATGACTCGAATCACCCCTTTGTTGTTAAGTGTGACACTTTTAAGCATATATATGAGTTTGTGATATTTAATCCAGTTACTATTGTATCTGTACTTTCTTAACATTTAACAGTTGTTATCATTTCGTCTACGTTCACTGGACGTTTGTTTACTATTAACAGTTTCTATTTTTGTGTGCGCAGCTCTCGTTCCGATAGACTAGTTGTGATTATAGACACCCAAAGAACTGAGGTTTGAGAAATCCACTGTATTGGTTGTCATTAATAACAGTACCGTCCTGTGGACAAACTCTACTTTTATATGAAATTTTTTGTATCATTCAATCATTTGGTTTGAAGTCAAGTGAATTTAACAGTTACATTGTAAAATATCAGTAACTTGGTAATTAACTGTTAAGCCTCATAGTCAGTATCCGTTCCATTGCTACCTTGTCAGACAGTATTGTCACTAAACTGCTACCCGATCACGGTTCCCAAAGCTTCATTACTTTTGGATTTGCCCAAGAATAGAAAAATAAGTATCGAGTTCATAATTTTATGGTATCTTCGATTTATTTAAATACTCAACTTCTATATTCATTCCAAAAAGAAAAGCTATCCATCTGAATTTAAACTTATGAACAACCTACCGGAAGTCTAACTAACCATAACAATTCAGTCAATCAGTTAGCTACACACACCCCAACCAGGTAGTCTGCATCTACTAACATGGCTCAGACCAAAAGACTTCAAAGACTGATACCATGTTTTGGTTTGACCGCCCCTAACGTTCTTCCAACTATCCCCAACATTAGTCAGCATTGCGCGTCGTGATAATCAATGAAGATTCACAACCTAATCAACTGATTTACCATCATTCCCTAATAACCTGCGTCTAACCTCACTATTACTTACCCAGTGATCCCAAAAGATGCGAGTAATATTTCCAAGGCATTTGTGATCAAATACTAGTAACGTACGACTATCTTCTACACTTAAAGGCAACATTTCTCAGCCGTAAAGTAGAACAAAACGGACCGCCGCGCGGTATACTCGTCCCTTTGCCATGGGTGACGTAGATTTGTAAAAGCCAAACGAGCTTTCTGAATCCGTGCTGAGATTTCGTCAGACAATAACCCGTTAGGGATGATCAGACTTCCAAGATCGGTGAAGTTGTCAACGCGTTCGACTACTTCACTCCCTATCCTTAGTTCAGGTGTTGACGCAGGCCAGTCCTGAAGCAATAATTTGCATTTAGGTGGGGAGAAACACATTCTGAACACCTTGACATTGTTCAGTGCTACCGAAAGGACTCTGCATTTTATCAGCGTCTTCATCATCTACATATTCTAAGCCAATAAGTGGATTTCCCGGTGAGAGATCAATTCCCGAAAATTCAGTCGACAAGAACGTTACTTCTAGCAGTAGGTCTATGATGAATGTGAACAAAAATGGAGAAAGTGGACAGCCTTGACGAAAACCACTTGAGGATGTAAAATCAAATGACAGTTCGCCATAAGCTCGACTGGTAGTGTTTGAGTAAAGAGCCTTCTTGAGGTTTGTGTACATCTGAGATACACCTTTTAATTACAGACACTGCCATAGAACCTCTCGTTCTACAGAGTCTAATATTATTATTATTATTAATGGCTTTATTCAATATTGCTTTCAAGTCAAGATAAACTATCATTGTCGGACGCCGATAAGCATGCCTATGTTCTAAAACCTGACGAATGGTGAATATGTGGTCGATGGAGCTACCAGGTTTGAAGCCAGCCTAGTATTCTCGTGTTTGCAGTTCATGAGTCTTTTTTAGGCGTCCGATAATTATTGAAGCTATTATTTTAGATGCTAGATTAATTAAACTAATCCCTCTATAGTTATCACAGAATGATACTGACCCATTCTTGTATATTGGGACAATTAATGATTGCGACCAGTCACATAAGATTACGTTCAGTTCCCAGATTTGTCAACCTAATCGCTGGACTGAGAGCAGATAAGAGTGCCACCTTTTTCCGAGATTGTCTCACTTACACATGACGTCTTAATTTAGGTTTCTTTTATTAGTGTGAAAAGTCTAGTGTTACCTACAGCTGATGCCTTTTTTATCTCTTTCGCTTCCGTTGCCCACCACTACTCATGATCGTTCCTTAGACTTCTCGTTAACCCAGACCTGATTTGTTTTCGCTCGTCCCCTTGTTCGGAGCATGATGGGATAAGTTTACGAAAGTCTATCAATGCAAAAGATGTAGCAGTAACCACTGGTTTCTCGTAACGTTTTGGTTCAAATCACTGATGGATGTGGTTGTTGTTTCCACAGCTGCTCGTATATCTTTCCAAGCAACATCTGGATCAGCTTCGTTTTCGGAATAGCCTAAGTGTGGTCTCAGTTGTTCCTGGAATCTACTTTTGGCTTTCTCGTCACTGAGTTAAACTCTAATGGAACTTTTTAATATGGCTTTTCTGCATCCAGTGAGGTGTAAGCAAATGATCAGAGTCCAAACAGGTATTCCAGAACGAGTAGTAGTCTTCTATCGAGTCTCCAACGATGACTGACGGCAATATGGTCTATTTGAGTCCATCGTTGGTTTGGTGCAGGTGGTCGTCATGTTAGACGATGTCTCTCCTTATGCTTAAAACTAATGCTTGCTAAAAATAAATGATTGTCTGAGCACAGATGCAGCAGACGATCACAATCATCTGTTCGCTGAGCCCAAATACTAAAATACCCACATAAATGTCTTTCTGTTTGGCTTAAGCTACCTACGTGGACATTAAATTCACCTGCTACGAGTACTATGTCTGTTTGAAATCCAAAAAGCTTTCTGCAAAACGCATCTTTCACTTCATCCAGGTTGCAGTCAATGGAATCGTAGACATAAAGGATGAAAAGGCAACGAAGTGTGTCCCTACCCTTTCGAGTTCTTACGGAGCCAAACAGCACATATGTGACTGTTAACAAGGATCTATTCTAATAGTGCTTCTTCTGCCCTCATACATGGTGCTATGACAACACCAGCCAGTTCACAGGAACTTGCCGTTGGGTCGCCAGATACACGGAGGGTGTATTTTGTCCGCTCCCTGTTTTAGCCAGGTGAGGTCAAGTGAATAACCACACTAGGATCCTGTATGCGTGTTTCGGAGGCACAGCACACACCAATCGTGCGAGATTCTAGGGTCTTAGTCAAGGATGCCTGCTGGCCGATTTGACACGGTGCATACGGTAAAGGTTCCAATGTGTAGTTTGGACTGGGACAGTGTTTCGTGCATTACAGTCGTTGGTCATAGTGATACTTAAGAAGGAAGTCAAAAAGAGAAGTTTAGAGTCGAAATTCGAGGTAGAGAAAATAATAGGAACTGAAGAAAAATCGATTATGAATACAGTGGTCTTGAGTGCTGTTAGAGGTATGAGGGCGTTTATCACCCCCCGGTTCCCCACACCGTCGAAGGGCTCTTCTAGAGGTACCTGAAAAGGAAATTCAGTTGGAGTTGATCTTAGTGACCTGAGAGCGTGACCGTACTGCCCAAGGGAAAACTGCTTGAGGTCGATCACACACAACCACTTTTTGTTAGCTCCGTACTTGTTGAGACCTTATCACCGGAGACGGATATCTGTGGGATAAGGCGGTGTGTAATTTTACGGCCGACCATCTTTAACCCCACCCTTACTTTGTGGGAAGGTAGCATCGCTGTTATGCTGATTTTCTGAGGCAAACATCTTACTGCCGTCACATCTCTGTACAGTCAGCCGTACGAATTTGCTCTCAGATTTTGGGGTTTGTTGCTTTTAGTCTTACTGTTCTTCAATTGACCTGTCTGGTATGGTAGGACCTTGAGGAACGATTGTTCCATCCCGGTTGGTTCATCACGATAGGCAAGCCTGACCATCACATTAAGGTGGCAGCAACGGTCGGGACCTTAACCGATACAAAATAAATGTTCAATAACTTGACAAGAATTAATTAACATATTATTATAATACGCTGAAATAAAGTGAACTTACACGGTCGGTATCTACACATAAACTGCATTCACATTTAAAGTAATAGTTATTCAACAGATACGTTTGTCTTTCTGCAGTGGTTGTCATACAATCACAGTAACTAATGTGGGGCTATAAGATAAAAACGAGAACTGGAAATGAACAGTAGTTACTTAAGAATAGGGAAATGCATTTTCTTTACAACGGCATACTGATGAAAATAGTTACATAGAACTTTTGTTTGAAGAATACGATACACTTTTTACAATAAGAAGTGACCTGGACGATTTTACAGAAACGTTAGCCATACAGTTTGTTTTTATCTGTTTATGGAGAATAAATATCAAAGCATGGTCCTGTCATTAGACAAAAATTTGATAATTTATCAACAAATTATGTTCTCGGGTTTCAATATTACTCAATTCGTCACTGGACAGATTTTTACTCAATAGCTTTTTCACATGCCTTCATATGCAAACATAAGGACTAAGACCTGAAGTTTAATGACAATAGGATTTTCCCCCAACTAGCAGGTAAAATTGATACTAGGCACCAACTCATGGAACAACCATACTTCCCGAGATAGGTGTAGTGCAATGTAATTTTAATACACCGCTAACAGCTAAAACTTGAATCTCTTTTTAGGTATCGTGTATCCAGCCAGTTTTGTCAGGTTTCCTCGAGAAAATATTGGTTTGTTTTAGAACCATAAAAGCTAACTTAAGGAGCGGAAGGAAAAGGCATGACCATTTAAGCCAAGGGTGATAGATTAGCTGGATATGATTGAACTTTTCTCGATAACCAATTTGAATTCGAACCAAACTATTTGACGACTGCATGGCACTCATAACTTCAGTTAAAAGTATGAGACGAATATACTATTGCAATCTTATACATTAAAAAAACGATCTGAACCCTAATGTTCCAAATCTCGGTGCAAAAATATGCAACACTGATAGTCAGCAATCAAGAATGAGGGTTAAGCCACATGACTTAACGAAAGATCAATACTTACTGACGCCGAACATACAGATGAAGCGTATCTACACAGAATAATTTGACGATTTGAAAATACATACTGCAACTCAGGAACACAAGAATGATCCAGACGAGCGGCTCTGTTTGTAATGTAATTAAGACAAAAAACTAACTTGAGAAAAAGCGCGGGTCCAACATCCACACCGTTTGGATCAGTAATCATGAAGCCATTAATTTGAATCTTTGGACAGTAAAGAAATGAGATCCAAATTACTTTACAAAATATTTGGAAAAGAGTTCCCTCATTTGCGAACACTTCCCCACCCAAAAAATCCCATAGGGTTAGTCTCATTGTGTGATACTTTTCCATAAGTTTGGAATTATTGCGTATTTCGTTTTCGTCTAAAAAAAATCAATTTATACGAGTATTTACGGGAGATAAGAGAATCGATACAGCACTTCGGGTCCTGACGTAATAATAAGCATGTTACAGACAAACCTGCATACTGATAATCCTTAAAATAAGACGGACAGGGGCTATCGGTAGACGTCCACATTTAATGTACTGTTTACATTCAAGTTTGTGCACACGCCACATAAGGCGCTGACAGTCGCGGGAACAGTACATCATTATTTTGCAAGAAGAGCATGACCAAAGATTAGGAATGCTTTTCAAACACCCATCACAATACTTCGAGAGTTTACTATTTATAATAGAGTGTACGTAAGAAGCCTCTTTCATATAGACAACCCCTGCCAAGGTCATTTTTAAAGAAGAAGCACACTTTCGTTGACCTTTCTGATTTGAACTCAAGTGAGAAAAAGGCGAAAGTAGAATACAGTTTTGGACAATATATTCATTCATTGTTCCAGCGGAACGAAACATGTATGTGAGTGGAAACTTAAGTCCTCAGTCTTCTATTGATGTTGTTAACATATTTGATGTGATCATGTCAACTTTGAAGGTATTCCGGGTAAAATTTTCTCGTCATGTGATAATAAGGAGTCATACCTGAGTATTCACTCTTTTAGTAAGCTTTTTTATTTTTGGCCCATGAGATGCTGTGGGGACACTCAGAGCGTCTCAGGATGTGGCAAACTATAAAGGTTAAGTAAACATTTTATGTCTCAATGTGATTTTAATCTCGCTTACATATGGGGCTTTTCAGCCTTCATTAGTAAGGATGGAAAGTCTATCAACTTATACTTATCCTTGCAATTTTTAACAATGTGAAGGTCAGATCTCTCTTTGAATTTATCAACATAAGGCACAGATATTGGTAGAGAATTCCAGCAATTCACTACTCGGTGATAGAAATGGAACTCCACTCGCAAATGATTTTGTCTCGAGCTTTGAACTTCATCAGACTGTCCTCTCAGGTGATCAGTCCTTGATGGAAGGAAAAGATAGGGCATATTAACACCAAGGTTATTGTTCAGTATATAATGAGCTAATATTGGATCACCCTAAATGAAAAAGATAAAACATAATGATACCGAAATCGCCATAAACAAACTTCCACTATAAATAGGTCTTTAAGTTTTCTACATTGATAGTGACCTCACTGGTTTTACTGGGCATTCAGAAGGTGGTTTTATAATGTTGACCAGTATTGAATCACCCCGTGATCTGTGGTAAGATAACGAAAATAAGTTGACGTGCTGTGGTGTTTGAATGAACTAATGATACCTTGGTACTTGTTGAATGCTTGATTTCGAATTCCAAATACAGTACATGCGTTTGTGTTTGTGTCTTATTTCTTAATTCAATTGCGTTATTTCTGGGACTCTTAATTTGTACTATAATTCAAATAATTCAAAACATTATATTCGCGTCGCGATGGAGCCTGCAATGGAAAAGTTAGATATTCATTCAACTCCCGAAGCTTTTGAAGAATAATGTTAATATTATCGCACACTTCCTCACATTCATTGGAAAAGAAGCATACAGCTTATTAAGAACTCTGGCTGTGTCGGAAAAGCCCATTTCGCTTCCTTACACAGCTCTCAAGGAACTGCTGCTAAACTATGTTCAGTATAAAAATTTCGAACGTCGTAAAGGAGGAAGATTTCGTAAAATGATTCATGAGGATATGAAAAATTCCACTACATTACGTCATCCCAACCCAGTTCATACTCAAGATTATGCAGACGATTCACTGAGGAGTTGCAATGCATTTCACGAAGATGGGCGCAAGTTTAGTCAGTGTTTGCCCTGTTGCAAGTTCCACTCTTTGAATTCATGTAAATTTCGTTATTCTAAGTGCTATTGGACATATTCAGTCAGTCTGTAATACTGATGTTCATCTTATTGCAACTAATATTAGGTCTTGTAATTCTGATTCTACTGAGTCGAGTATTCATGATGATCATTTATCTTTATCAACGATTTCAAAAGACAGTGCAGAGTCATATGGCAGTTCAGAGTTAAATGAAATCCAGAACTCTTGTGAGACAACAGTTCCTAATCAACCGATTTATCAGAATTCTCATGCTATTGTACCAGGTATGACTTTTCCTAATGATTCACATATTTCTAATGAAATTACTTGCAATTCTGAGGAAAATATGTTAAATGAACGTAATCATGATCGGAAATCTAATGTGGTTTGGATAGATGCTGATATTTCTAACGATCCTACGCGCTGTAATGACAGTCCTACTGAATTTCATAAGAATATTTCAGAAGAATCAAATCCTGATGTCATATCATATATTACCTATCCTCATAATGCATTCGATCCTTGTGGAAATTCTACTCAATGCGAAGCACAAGTATTAAATGAGCTCCATTCTGATTACAATTCAGATTATTTCACATCAATTGCTGTTAATCCTTATCACAAATTCACTTCCAATGTATACTCCAATCAATGTGAGAAATATGTTTTAAACAAAGCCACGTTTTTCATAACTTGGGGATATAAAGATCCAACATTATTTCGTGGGGGAGGATAGTGTTCAAATTCTAGATATTAATGATTTCAGTACAAAACCGACATGCTGATAGTATACTATTCCAGGCGAGTCTGTTCCGATTTCGTTTGTTAATTCCGATACTAATGAGCATATTCTAGATACTACAAAGTTTCTATCCAATACAATGTCGGACAGACTCAGGATGAACTTAAGAAGAAAACGTAAAGCCGATTACAAATACTTTTACTCTTATTTAAGCTGTGGCGGATGTGGTTTTGAATGAACTAATGATACCTTGGTACTTGTTGAATGCTTGATTTCGAATTCCAAATACAGTACATGCGTTTGTGTTTGTGTCTTACTTCTTAATTCAATTGCGTTATTTCCGGGACTCTTAATTTGTACTATAATTCAAATAATTCAAAACATTATACGTGCCTCAGTCAGTTTTCATAAGGTGGGCCACATAGACCTTTTAAAATTTGTCCCTCACCATTAAACTCTTCCTAGCATGTCCACTTCACACAAACAATTAATCGTTACCTGAGTCCCGTATTCTAAATGCGGCTTCACGAAAGTCGGGCATGGAGCGCGAAACATTTCTTCGTCAAAATACTGAAGAGACTTACAAATAACCCATATAACCCTGGAGGCTCTGGCAAAGGCAGCTTAGAAGTGGCTCGTAATTTTAAGGTTGATGCTTACTATGACTCCCAGATTTTTATAGTCTATTACTTGAGGTACTTAATTGTATTACCACATTCATGATCACTCGCCCATTCATGCAACCAGTGCATTCAGCTCAAGTTATAGTCTTAACAATGTAACACATTTCTGCAAGGGCAGGTACACGCCGTTTTTACAGGAATGGTCAACAAATTGCAATATTTATTGGTTCACAGTATGCATGTTAAATAAATATAGTCTATAAAAGTGCATATCAGTTCATTCCTTCAGATATACTGAGTAATCGTCAAAATATTCCCCAAAGTGGCATGCCGTCAACGTTACACACCAGACCCAACCTCCGCATTATTATGTTAGGATTTTGGTCGTGCTAAGTATTTATGCAATGTAACTTTTTAAGGTGATATCTGTTATAAAGTAGACTTGTAGGGCGCTTGGTGTGAACTATGACCTTGGGGAAAGACGTGCGTCTAGTTTGTTCCATATGTCAGAAGTTACATAGCTGTGTCCTCAGAGTAAGACCCCAGAAAAAAGAGGAACCGAAGCGCAGCAAGTCTTTTGGTACGAAAAATAAGCAATACTTAACATTTTGTAGTGGAACAAACAGAGGTATGATAAATTATTAGATTAAATGCATACTAGACCTTGTTGCTAAAGTAGAATGTGATCAGAGGCTCCAGATGAGAGAATGCAGTAATAAAGAACAATGAGTTGTGATATTTACCAAGGTGGAGTAAATTCAAATGAAGGAAGGGAAGTCAGGGTTAGAATAAGGAGGGCTGTTTATTAGAACAGAAAATGTATATAGAGAGTAAAGTGTTAAGAAAGCTAATAAGTATATGTTTTTATTGTCTGATTCCTTTTCCATCCGATGCCTGCCACACAGTCTTAATGTAAAGGTCCGAGTCAACATGTTCTAGGTTGTCTTAGTAGCATAGCTAATCCAGCATAAAATTGGCAACGTGAGTCTGAATGATGGGCGTTGGTGGACAACCTCAATATCACAGACTGATTGACCTGTTCTCAAACACAAAGAGCCTGATACTAACAAAAGGTTCTGCCCCACAAACATGGGTAGATTGAAGTCATCGCCTTTACCATCAATGCTTGCTGGTCAGTAACTCCACCCGCCCTCCTTATGTGATGTTAGGCTCATTTAAGCTTTTTCTAGATATATATCATACCCCACATAAAGCTCTGTATTTCACATATTGCTGGAAAACACTATTTCTATAAGTACCATTTTACAAATTATGGACTGTGGGTAAGGCAACGATGCGATGCGTTATAAAGTATAGATTGCCAAGCAGAGTATGAGCTATAAAAAGGGTATATTGTAGGATAGTAGTTAACCAAAGTAGGCGGAAAAGTATAGAAATATGTGAGTTATAGATAAAGTAGCGATTGGTGAAACAATATTAATAGCAAGTCAACATAATATACTGGAGAGTAAAAAGCTTATAAAGAATAGACAAGAAGGGACTTACATCAACTTAGTGTTGATGTTATTTTGTTCTATCCTAACCGGTTGTTCTATCTGACATACTGCGTATCTGTCTCTAAATCTTTTCGTCAACTGCATAGGGTAGAACAGACGACTTTGCTACATTTGTAAGTTATTGAAATAAGGTGAAAAAGAAGAGTGAAGATGTTGATACAATCACATCTGTCAGCACCTCCTGTCCTACCATTGAGAAAGTCGCTTATCCAGTCTGATTTCATTATGGACGACAAAAGTTTCTAGTTTTAATTCAAGTCTAGGATGAAAGACTTAGTCAAAGGCCTTATTTAGATCTGTGAAAATCACATATACAGGAATATTTCTGTCTTTCTCTGAGGACCAATCTTCTCCTGCAATGAGAAGGCTTGTCAAGCAAGCTTGCCCTTTCTTAGAACTGTGTTGTTCCCCGGATAGAAGATTATAGCCTTCCATCTAGTTCAAAAACGGCCA